ATACTCAACAGGCCAAGGGAGGGAGAGAGCAAAGCCTCAAATTCACAGATGGCAGAGCCGGTGGCACCGTCCAGGGTCCTGCTGCCGGCCTCTTGGAAGGCCACACACAGGTCGCTCCCAGCACTGCCCCCCAGGGCCAGGGCAAACCCTAATCCAGTGTCTGCTTGCCTGTGGGGCCTCGCGTCTTGCATTGGTCTGGGAAACAGAGGCCACTGACCTGGGACCCAACTTGAACTTGTTGTTTGAGAGGAGAATGGCATGACCTGCATTTCACAAATGAGGAAACCGAGGCTCGGGGACACTCCGGTCCCTGAGCAAGGCAAGGGACCGAAGCAGCGCCAGGGCCGGGGGAGGGCTGCCCACCCGGGGTCCCAGGCCAGCTGGCCGCCTGGCCTCCTCCTCTCGTGCAGCCCAGAGCTTTGTTTGTTTCTCACACATCCGGAAACATCCCGGAGCCCAGCTGATCTCCACGGGGAAAGAGTGATTTAAAGCAGAACCAAGGCTTGTGAACAGCTGTGGGGTTTCTCGGAGGGCAGAAGGCGTTGAAAACCTCTGGTGGATTCAGGGGCTTTGATCGGGCAGGGGAGCGAGCTGGACGGTCATGAGCATCTCCAGGCACAGTGCGGTGACATCCATAGATGAGGAACCTGAGGCTCGGAAGAGGGATTTGAACCTGGCCCTGCAAGGCTGAGCCCTGGCCTTTGCTCCGTGAGCTGCTGGTAAACAAACCTCCCCAAGCTACTTTCTTTCCCACTCCTTCTGTAAGAGATGCTGGGAGAGGAACGGGGCAGCTGATGGCCGGTGCCCTATTGTCTGGGGCAGGGGAGGGCTGCCTGGATAGGAGAGACCCCCCCACCACCACCACCCAAGGCACGCCCCTGCCCAGTCTGGGGCTCTGCCCTTCCAGACTACCCAGCTGCTCAGAAATGCCCTCATTCTGTTCAGAAGGACTTGCCTTGGGCTTGGATACTTGGACACTTGCCCTGCCATGCCTTTGTCCAGCCTGACCACGCCCCCCACCCCACGCGTTCCGTGGCTCCATTCAGACCAGCCCAGGCCCTTCCCTGAGGCGCTTGTCCTCCTCTCTAGAGCACCCAGAGCCGGGCTCGGCCCCCGCTGCACCAGTAGAAACACCTGGTTTGTGGATGGTCTGCACAGCCTCACGCCTCAGTTGCTTTGCTGTGGCTCAGCCAGGCACTGAGTCCATTAAGGCTGAGTCCACTGAGCCCATTTCGGGGGTGGAAGGAGCACTGTCCTTTTAAAGACCAGCAAAGGAAAATGACGGCTCCGACAGCCCTTCGGGAAAGAAACCTGTTCCGCAGAGTGTAACCCAGTGTTTCTCAAACTTACTCAGCCATGGAATCCCTGTCTCCAGGCAAGCCTGCAGGGCAGTGTGCTGTGGGGCACCAGTTTGGGAAAGGCATTCTGTAGGGTAACTGCGGACAGGGTCCATCCCCTGGAGGTTCACAGCCCAGGGTCCCCCGGCCCAGAGGGCAGGCCCCACTTCCCCGGGACGGGAGGGGAGGTGAGAATCACATCCCCAAGCCAGGCAGGTGCATCTGTCTCCAAAGCCAGGCTGCTCCTTCCCTGCCCGCCTCAGAGTCCCTTCCTCAGTGACCGCGCCCACCCAGCAGCTTCTCCGAGGTCAGCCACTGCCCCTCACAGAGAGCTCGGGGGCCTGGGGGCGGCTTTGTTGCCCAGGTGTCATCCTGGCTGTGGGTCGGCTCTGTCCCGGGGGCTGGCCCAGCCCGGTCTGCTCTGTCAGTTCTCGCACAGGGAGCTTTGGTGCCGCTGCAGGCACTGGCTCGGCTTCCGGGAATTGGAATTGGCTTCCCTTCAGTCCGTGGTGGGGGCTCCCAAGAGCACTGCGAACACCCATCGCTCTGCCTCTATTGGGAAGCTAGAAACTGAATTCACCCATAAAAACTCCCAGGGCTCTGATCACAGATACAGGCAGGGCCTTTCATGTGAAAATTGGTTTTCTGTCACAGACGGGGCTTCTCACACATCAGAAAGAAGCCTTGGGGACCAAGGCTGCACCATCAGTGACCCCCAGGAACAGTCCTAGGTTGGCAGAGGGCAGCGTCCAGCTCAGGAGGCAGGAGGCCTGCGGCCATAATAAGGTCCAGTCAGTGGGCACTTCCAGAAACAGCTGGCAGCACTGAGATGCTCCCTCTGGGGTTGAGGCCAAGGGGACAGCCTGGGCTCCCTTCCACGGGCACTTCTGAAAGGCAGAGCCCTGTGGTTGTGCGTGCTTCACATCCAGGGGACCGTGGGAGCAGGGAGGATTTCACAGAGGTACGCAAGGCCTAGAGCAGGAGAGAGTGGCCGGGAGGCCAGACAGGACCGCGGCAGGGGCCTGCAGTGCAGACAGGATGGAGACCCAGGGCCCAGACCCTTTCTAGCTGCATGGCCCTAGGCAAGGTCTTCCCCTCACTGGGCCTCAGTTTCCTTCTCTGTAAGAGGGGGATGATGACACCTACCTTACCGGGTTGCTGTGTGATTGAGACTGAGTGCGGGCCATGGAGAGCTCCTTGAAGAGACCCAGGAAGGACTGGCGCCCACGCGTGTGGGGTCGGGCCCAGGGGAGAAGTCCAGGGTGGGGATGCATAGTGGGACGTGACCCTGAGGACACCCGGCAGGGCCTGGGCCAGGGGATAGGGGGACAAGGGGCAGGGCCCAATTTAGTGTACTACCGAGGGCAGAAGGCCTGGGGGTGTGGACCCCGGGATCAGGACAGCTGGAAACTGGCAAGAGGACACTGTCCAGCTAGGGCAGCTCCTGGGAGGCTCATGGCAAGGAGTAGAACTACGCCTGTGATGGGGGCTGAGTCCCTGACCTGGGGCCCCCAGGGCCTGAGCCCCCAAGACTTTGGAATGCCCCCACTCCCTCTCCCCTGGGACTCCAGCTGTCCCCAGGCCGTCACTCTGATGGCCAAACCCTCGGTGACCATGAGACTGGTGGCCAGAAGCACTTAGACACCAATTTTTAAGAACTGCCTGGTTTCCTACTGCCAGCAAGGCCCTGGCCACGAGCCCCACATGGAGTGGCCACTCACACCATCTGGGAATGGGCAGATGGGCCATCTCCACACGAGGCTGTCTGGAGGTTGAGCCAGGGAAGCCAGCAGCTTACCTCCTACCTGGCAGGCACGGGGCCAGCTCCCAGCTGTGTCCAGAACCAGAGACCAGGAAAGTCTTCCCAGAGCAGGAGGCTGTCCCGGGGGATGAGCTGCCTGCTGCCAGGTGCAGACGCGGGGAGGGCACTCCAGGCAAAGGGAACAGAGAGCCGAGGGATGAAGACGGAAAAGAAGCCAGAGAGCTCGGGGACGGACAGGGGCACAGAGTGACCAGATGGCTGAAGCTGGCCTTAGCCACAGAGGACCCTGATGCTGGGCCCGGGAGTCCGTCCTCAGCCAGTGGAAGTCCAGAGAGGCAGGGACAAACTGAGCAGGGGCCACAGGTCAGGGGCCGACGAGAGCCCCTCTGCTCCTCCACCGCCTACAGGGTCCCCCATCCCGCCTTGGCCAGGCTGCTCTCTTTTGCCTACGGTGCCCTCCCCCACCCTCACACACACACTTGTTAGGTCCAAATACCCCAACGTTACTGTCCCCACAATGCGTCTTCCCGGCTAGGGGTTGGCAGAGCCTCCACCTCTCCTCCTTCCCTTTCTACTACGCAGTGCATGCATTTGCGGCATTATCATTCTTGCCGTACTTCCTTGGTTTGACTTTGCACGTTTTCCCGGGCACATGCTGCCTGCCAGGCCCCATCCAATAACAGAGGCACAGGGATTAGACCCTTTTCCTGACTGTACAGAGGAAGAATTGTGTAGACCCCACATTAACGACAGGTCATGTCACATGTGACAGAATATAGGTGGTGGGAACAGGGACAGATGGCCTGACTCTGGGAAGGAGAAAACCCTAGAAGCCTTCCTGGAAGAGGAGGTAACTGAGCTGAAGATGGACAAAGAAGGGAAGGATGGCAGTGTGTGCAAAGGTTCAAAAGTGTGGAGCTGTGTGCGTCGTTGCTGCAGCCAACAGTGAAGTGTATGTGGGGGTGAGGGGACTGTGGTGAGGAGGAAGAGGGGGCTGACAGAGACCAGGCATCCCTGGTCCCAGAGTCCCTGCCAGCTGGATTCCTTCCCACTCCCACACAAAAGGGAGCTAGGCGAGGCTTTGTTAAGTGGGTGGTAGGTGGACAGGGGCAGGGGTGTCCGGCACGGGCTGCTGTGCAGCTGGTCCTCTGCAGACTCTGCAGGGGGCCTGGAGGTCGCTGAGTGCCCCCACTGTCTGGACCCACCCTGGTGTGATTTGGCTTTTCTCTGGCTTTATTTTGTCTGCAAAGGCTGCAGCAATGTGGGAAGTTCAAAGAGCCTTCGAGACTCTGCCAGTCACAAATGACAGGAACTCAATTCAAGCTGAATTAATGAAGGCAAAACAAAAGTATTGATTAGCTCTCAAACTGGTGTGTACAGGGGCAGTTTCAGCTTCAGGCCCTCGACCCTGTCTTTCTGTCTGTCTCTCAGCTCTGCTTTCCTCCCTGTTGGCTTATTCTCAAGCCGTGTGGTGGTCCCTGGGAGCTCCAGGCTCAGCCCCATCAGAAGAAAAGAGCCCTTTTCCCCTAAAGCCCCACCATTAAGTCCCAGGCGGGATGCTCATGGCTCGTCTTGGATCCCAGGCTCGTCGCTGACCCCGTCACCCTGGCGGAGGGAATGTGGTCACGTGCCCACCCCAGCAGCCCACCCAGACCCCATGGGTTGAGATGGGGGGTGGTCTTTAGAGCAGAACTGGGCTCTCTTGTCAGAGGAGGGATTCCGGGCAGCAGACCACACACAGATGCCTTCCCCTCCCTCAGCCCCAGGCCGCATGGACTGAACCCAGACCTGGGGCTCCCATAGGCTTTGTTTTCTTGTCGCTGAATAATGCACCTGGGTCATAAGATGTGGAGGAAGTGCCATCCCCGTGTGTAACCTGTGTTCTCTCTCTTGTTTTCCAGGGACCCCTGGGTTTGGATGGCAAGCCCGTAAGTGATGACAGGGCAATTCCAGGGTGTCCTGGGCTGGGGCTGCCACTGTGGGGCTGGGAGTGACCACCAGGCACTGGAGGGAAGCAGCCACTGGAACTTGGTTCAGCAGAGAGAGAAGCCTTTGGGTGTCAGACTTGAGTTCAAATCTAGCTCCACTACCTGCTGACGGTGACCAGGGGAGGCCTCCTCACCTCCCAAGCCTGAGGCTTCTTGTCTGTCAAGTGGGCACACGTACCCCTCTCTCCTAGGGATGCTGCAGACCTATGGAGAACTGTGGGCAGCACAGTCCCTGGGGTCTAGTCAGCCCTCAAAGCATGCGAGCCCCTCGCAGCAGACACAGGCACAGTGTCCTCGCCTCATTCTCAAGACTGCCCTGGTGGGCATCAAGCTGAGTTCTCAACGTGCCTGGAGCCTGTGGTCACAGGCAGTCCTTAGCAGAAACATGCAGGGAGACATGAGCACAATAAATAAGTAATTTGAGGTGGATGGATGGATGGGCGGGTGGGTAGATGTATAGATAGATGCATAGATGGATGGATGATGACTGGATAGATGGATGGATGGATTGGTGGGTGGTTGGATGGATAGTGGATGAATGGGTGGATGGGTAGGTGGGTGGGTGGATGGGTATGTGGGTGGGTGGGTGGATGGGTGGATGGATGGATGGATGAATTGGTGGGTGGATGGATGGATGGATGGATGGATTGGTGGGTGGTTGGATGGATAGTGGATAAATGGGTGGATGGGTAGGTGGGTGGGTGGATGGGTGGATGGATGGATGGGTGGATGGATGAATGGATTGGATGGATGGATGGATGGATGGATTGGTGGGTGGTTGGATGGATAGTGGATAAATGGGTGGATGGGTAGGTGGGTGGGTGGATGGGTGGATGGATGGATGGGTGGATGGATGAATGGATTGGTGAGTGGATGGGTGGATGGATGGATAGGTGGATGGATGAATAGATTGGTGAGTGGATGGGTGGATGGATGGATGGGTGGATGGATGAATGGATTGGTGAGTGGATGGGTGGATGGGTGGGTGGATGGATGGATGGGTGGATGGATGGATGGATGGGTGAGTGGATGGGTAGATGGGTGGGTGGATGGGTGGATGGGTGGATGGATGGATGGATGGATGGATGGATGGATGGATGGATGGATGGACTGGTGGGGGAATGGGTGGATGGATGGATAAATGGATTGGTGAGTGGATGGGTGGGTGGGTGGATGGATGGGTGGATGGATGGATGGATGGATGACTCATACAGGGATGGACAGATGGAGCCCATACTCCAAGGAGCTGCTACCATTAAAGAAGAGAATGCTTTTTTTTTTTTTTTAAGAAATAAGAAAGAAAAAAGAAGAAAATGCCTCTGGAGAGAGAATCTCTCTACTGCCTGCTTCTCAGATTCCAGAAAGATGGCTTAGGGGCAGTGGCCTCCCACTGACAGCAACAGGGTGGGAGCTGAGCAGTGGGGGACCGTGTGCGCTCTCTGGGAGGAGTGGCCAGTGCACTCGCCCCTTTCTCTGCTGCAAGGATGCCAGTGGGCCCTTGCTGGTCACCCCCAAGTCCCCCATATCCCTCATGCTGAGGACCGAGGTGTGGAGCTTCCTTGGGCCAGCCAGGGCAACTGTCACTGATGCTGACAGCTTGTGTGTAATTTTCTACTCAGCCGCCCAAAGTTCTGCTCAGCATCACGGGCCCTTCTGCCCTCAGAGGTACAGGGAAGCCAGAAGGGGAGCCAGCCTAGGCCCCTCACTCAGGCCTGTTCTTTCTCCACTTTCCTTCTCCAGGGACTTCCAGGCCCGAAAGGGGAAAAGGTGAGTGAAACCAGAGGCTGTGCAGATGCGGTAGGCAGGCGAAGAATCCCAGAAACCTCCCTCCAGGGTGCCCTCGAGCACCTCACAGCCCCTCCTAGAGCCTCAGTTTCCCCATCTGTAGAGTGGGAATCACCGTGCCTACCTTCTAAAAGGGTTACAAGGCTTACACTTGACAATACGGAGAGTTGAGTCTGAGTTCTCCTGGGACCAAAGCATAACCAAACTCGGAGGCCCAGTGTTCCCAGAATGACGAGTGTCCAGAGGACTTCATGGTGAAGGGGAGGTGCCAGGAGGGCTGGGGGATTGAACCATGACTGTTAATGGTATTCTCTGTGGGGAGGGCACCCCTCAGGAAGACATGGCGGAGCGCTACCTCTGCGGCCCCTTGGGAGGAAGGCTTCCCTGGCATCAGGCACTAAAGCCCCCTAGAAACCAGGGACCAAGTGCTTCAGAAGGGAACAGAAGAGACCTGTGTTACCCACGGTAAAATCAGGGGAGGGGTCAGAGCAGGCCTAGATGTGCCAGGGCCAGCTGGATGCTCCCACAGCTGGACCACGTCCACCCACCCCTGATGCAGAATTTGGAAATGGGAGGTGAGAGCTGCAGATGGGCCCTGCCCTGTGTGATTCGGCAGCTCAGGCCAGGGCAGGCAGGGTTCCCACCCAACCACCAGGGCTGAGGGAGCCGTGGGGAGGCCTGGGAGCTGGTGTTCAGAACCTCGGCTTTGCATTCCAGCTCCACCACCAACTGTGTGGCTTCGGCCAAGTTGCCGGGCTCTGTGGGCCTCAGTTTCCCCATCTGTAAATGAAGACCAATCTCACCGAGCCACAGGAGAGATTGCATGAGGTCATGGTCTCAATGTTCTTGCCAATGATGAGAGACTAGTGCAGTTGGCAGGTGGCCTGATTACCTTCCCACTGGCCTTGGCTGATGCCACCACGTCATAGAAGTGATTCCATCAGGGGCTGTGAAACCAGAGAGAACTGGTGTCTTGGTGTCTATTGCTGCTTAATGCACTGCCCCAAAACTTGGTGGTGTAAAGCAGCATTTACTCATTAGCATCCCTTCCAGAGGACACAGTGGGAGGGGCTGTCTCTGCTCCACAATATCCGGGGCCTCGAATGGCTGGGACTGCCCTGAGATAAGGGAACACCTGCCTACAAGCCCCAGATCTGCTAGCTGTGTGACCTTGAGCAGGTTAAGTGGCCTCACTGTGTTTGCTTCCTCATTGGAAATGGAAATAAAAATAGAGCCTGCCTGCTATTTTTGTTAGAATTAAGTCATACCATGTCTATGAAGCACTGGGCACAGATGCTCGACGGGAAATGGGAGGAAATGATGAAAGCAGTGGTGATACCTTTCCATGTCTTTTGTTCCTAGGGTGCACCAGGAGACTTTGGCCCCCGGGTAAGAACCAGGCATGACCTCCCTCACTGCCCATATGGTTTGTTTGACTTAATAATTAGGCATAACTGGCGCTGCTTCTGGGTCCTGGCTCCCTGCAGCTCATCACAGAAAGGCCAAGAGGCCCCTTCCCCACCCATAGCACCGGTGGAAGCCCCCAGGGACCTGGGTCGTGGGGCTGCCGCCTCTTGCGCAGGTGGGTGTCTCTGGAAGATGTCCAGGTCTCCATGCTTACCACTGTGGATGCTGGACAGTGGGGCTGGCACGTGACCCAGACTGGAGACTGAGGACAGCTGGCACCCCAAAAAGAAGGAAGGCTCTGGGGTCAGCAGAACTGAGCTCAAAGCTCAGCTCTGCCACCTGCCAGCTGAGTGACCCTGATCAAGTCACTTTGCTCCCTGAGACTCAGTTTCTTCAACTGTGAACGGGAGGACAGCCCCCACCCCAAGAGGTTGTCGTGGCAGTTAAAAGGTAGTGGGAGCGGCAGTGCAGAGCGGGGCTGCAGCTTGTGGTCAGGGCTGGCTGGGTGCCTGCGCCGTACCTCTGCGGCCCTGAGCTGTGAGCAGGAGCAAGGAAGGGGGCTGGCCAGGCCAAGCCCCACAGACACAGCTGCTCTGTGCCAGCCACATAAAGCTGGTGAGATTGCTCTGCAGTCAAAGAAAGGGTCTCGTGCTGAGTTTTAGCTGCTGAGAAAAATCCTTCTGCTTGCTTCCTGGTGGGTGTGTGGAGCTGATAATCCAAAGCGGATGCCCTCTCCTCAACAGACTAGAAGTCCTGAGGCCCAGAGGTCATGGAAGAGGGGATCTCCTCCCACGCCCCCAACCCTCTTCATGGATACCTTCCCTATATTCCCAGTGTCCCAGTCATCGGGAACATCACCCCCCAACACACACACACACACACACACACACACACACAGTTTAGTGGCTTAATGGCCGGGCACAGTGGCTCGTGCCTGTAATCCTAGCACTTTGGGAGGTCGAGGCAGGTGGATCACTTGAGGTCAGGAGTTCGGGACCAGCCTAACCAACATGGTGAAACCCTGTCTCTAGTAAAAATACAAAAATTAGCAGGGTGTGGAGGTGGGCGCCTGTGGTCCCAGCTACTCGGGAGGCTGAGGCAAGGGAATGGTTTGAACCCGGGAGGCAGAGGTTGCAGTGAGACAAGGTGGCACCACAGCACTCCAGCCTGGGCGACAGAGCGAGATTGTCTCCAAAAAAAATTTTTTTAAATAGTGGCTTAAGACTCCAATTGCCATTCTCTCTCGTGTCCCCTGGGTTAGGCTTCGGCTCTCTCGGGAGGTTGTCGGCAGCCAGGCCGGGAGCCCGTCCCGTGGCCGCGGGTGACGTGGATGCTGGTGGGCATTCCACTGGTGAGCAGCCCTCCCTGGAGAAGGAGTCTGCACACTGATCACCTACTTGCCTGTCTCTGGGCTTGGTTAAGTGGCTTTGCCTCCAGGTTTCAAAAAGCCTTGTGGTTTTTCAAATCACCGTCCTGCCTTTCTGACCACACGACCTGTCTGCTGACTAGATGGTTTTCCCACGGCTCAATCCGGGCTTTATGAGTAGAGACCATCACCTGTACAATCGCCGGATCCTCAAGGTAGACTGCCTGAGTGGGGGCCTGGGCCTGATGACTTGCTGTGTTACCCCCAACTCACCCCACGTTTGCAGGGTTAGACCTCAGCCATCCAATCCCTGAGGGAGGAGCAGGCGGACTGGCCGGGAAAGAGCCTAAGAACCTCTCCCAGGACCGGCTCCAGTGTCAGGCCCATTTTCTGTCTTAATAAGTAGAGTCCAGGCCAGTAGTTCCCAGCCTGAGGGCCTTTATAAAAGGAACAGCAGGGAGCTAAGCAGGTGTCTTCAAATTCTTCCTGATTCAGTGCAGATTAAAACAGGAATTACCTGTCACCATCACCACCCATGCCTGGTGACCTAACCAAGCTGTCAGTTTTCTTCCCTTTCGGCTGGAGCTGTAACATTTTGATCAGGACCCTGGCCATGCCAGACCAGGAGGAAGACCTGAGTGGCGGGTGTTGAGAACTTCGCTGATTTTTTAATTGGGAAAGCAAGTGAATTTGTGTTACGTGCAGTTTGCTAGAGAGGTGAACTATTTCAGATCAGGGAACATCTGTGGATGAAAAGAAGTGTCTCAGAGGGACCTCTTGCCTTGGCAGTGAGAGGAGGCTCCGTCTTCCCTAGCTCTGTAACCCTGGGCAACTGACCCTCTGACCCCCAACCCCAGCCATTCCATCTGTAAAGTGGGACAATAACAGTGCCCTGGCCAACTCATCGCAAAGGTTGAATAAGATCATGTTCGGCCAGGTGTGGTGGCTTATGCCTGTAATCCCAGCACTTTGGGAGGCCAAGGCGGGCAGATCACTTCAGGTCAGGAGTTCGAGACCAGCCTGGCCAACATGGTGAAACTCCGTCTGAACTAAAAATACAAATAATAATAATAATAGTAATCCCACCTACTCGGGAAGCTGAGGCAGGAGAATCGCTTGAACCTGGGAGGTGGAGGTTGCAGTGAGCCAAGATTGTGCCACTGCACTCCAGCCTGGGCAACAGAGCTAGAGACTCTGTCTCAAAAAAAAAAAATCATCTTCAGGATATCCTTGCTAGCTCAGTGCTAGGTCTTCCTTTCTTTGTTACAAGAAGGTTGAGGGCCACTGACACCATGACGTGGGTGTACTCCATTCCTGTGGCTCCACCCTGTGCCAGTGCAGGGTGGGCCCTGCTGGGGCAGTGGGTAGATGCCAGTCACAGTGGTCTTCCTTCCTCTCGGGTTGGGCTATGAGGTGGGGCTCTGGCTGCCTGAGGTCTGACCCAGTGCTAACATCAAGTTCTAAAGTTGGGGATTTAGTGCTGCATGAGAGAAACTGTGTGGCCCTGCATCATCATTTTTTTTAACTTTTATTTTGAGACAATTGTAGATTTACATGTAATTGTAGTAAATAACATCTGTGTACCCTTCATCCAGTCTCCCCCAGTGGTGACATCTTGCATCTCTGAGTACAATCTCACAACAGGAAATTGGCATTGATACAATCCACCAACCTTATTCAGATGCCCCCAGCTGTACACACACTCGTTTGTGTGTTTAGTTCTGTGCAATTTTAACACACTTGTAGATCTGTGTAAAGCACACAAAGGTCCCTCATGCTGTTCTTTTGTAGTTACAATCACCTTCATCCCCCCATCCCTAATGCCTGGCAACCAGTATGGGTTCTCCATCTCTATAACGTTGCCATTTCAAGAGTGTTACGTAGATACAACCACACCGTATTAAGCTCTTGAGACGGACTGTTTCACTCAGCGTAATTCTCCTGAGATGCATCTGAGGTGTTGCATGTGTCGTGGCCTGTTCCTCTGGGTTGATTGCTGAGTTGTGTTCCATGACGTGGACGTACCCCAGCTCCTTAACCTTCCACCTACTGAAGGACTTTTGGATTGGTTTCCAGTTTGGGGCTGTTACTAACCAAGCAGCTGTGAACAAGGATAAATGCCCAAGAGTGCACCTCCGTACTTCAAATGAAGCGAGAGTTGACAAAAAAAAAAAAAAAAAGGTCCTCCAGGAAGGTCCTTCAGGAGATACTCAGGCCCCACTCTAGAGAGAGGAAGGGGCAGCTGGACACGCGTGTTTCCCCCCACATGCAGCACGTGCCATCTCTCTCCTAAACACTGGATCTGGGCTTCAGGTGCTGAAGAGCTGGCACATTCCTTGGTCTGTAAAAGGTCCCGTAGGGCCTCTGACACCAAAGTATGGGGATCTGTTCGGTTGTGCAGTCCCCAGTAAGTGGCAAGAGGCCCAGTCACAAAGCCCTCCCCTTTGAGCCTGCCCCAAGGGCTGAAAAGGGGATGGCGTGGGGCTGCCCATCTGAGGGTTTCTCTCTGCAGGCTGGACCCCCTCCCGCTCAGAGTCATGCCAAGCCCCATCTGTTTCAGGGAGACCAAGGACAAGATGGAGCTGCTGGGCCTCCGGGGCCCCCTGGACCTCCTGGGGCCCGGGGCCCTCCTGGCGACACCGGGAAAGATGGCCCCAGGGGAGCACAAGGCCCAATGGTAAGAGAGGGCCTGGAGTTTGGCCACCGAGAACTTGACCAAAACCCCAAATCCGGATTCCAGAGCCAGCCCCATCCCCATCCCCGTCTCTAGTGCAGACCCCACGCCAGCCTTAACCCCAATCCAAACACTGAACCTGGGCCCAAACTTAACTCCAACCAAGATCCAACCCCAATTCAGATCCTGACCCTGACCCCAGACCCAAACCCCACCCTAACCTCAACCCAGACCCTTATCCCATTCGAACCTTAAATCTAACACTAACTGGGTCTCTGATCCCAATCAAGACCTTGACCTCAAACTCATTCCCAAATCCTGGTCTACACCCCCAATTCAGACCCTAACTCTGACCCTTCCAGCCTCTGACGCTGACCAAACCAACTCTCACCTCAGATAGACCCAGACACCCTAAGTTGACCTTAGTTGCAATCCCAGTCCCAATCCTGACTCAACCCTGAGCCTGAGACCCTTCTGGGGGCACTGTCTCTGCAGACCTTTATCAGCCCCTCCCCTCACGCTCCCCAATATAATATCTCAGCCTCAGCTTTCCTCCCAAGCGTCTCCAAAGCCTGGAGGCCAGGCCCCATCCTACTACCCTTTCCCTAACCCAGAAACCCCAGCCTGTCCTTCCCTCCAGTGTGGAGGCCAGACTGCCACCAGGGGTCCCCCCCCCGTCAGATGGATCCCCCACCAAACTGCCACCAGTTTCCCCCAGGACAGCTGCTCAGTTGGCTCATCCATTACTTGTCACGCCAGGCCAGTGGCTTCCCCAGCCTAACGCTCTGTTCTGTGGAGTGGGGACCCTGATACTCGCTCTTGAGGTTTGGCGAGGATGAAATGAGACAATGTACTTAGAGCCCCAGCCCAGGGTCTGGCCTGAGATTTGGGCTCAGTTCAATGTGACGACCTGCATCCCTCACTGCTGTCCCCTCACACTTCCGCAGGGCCCCAAAGGAGAGCCTGGACAAGACGGCGAGATGGTCAGTATCCAGGGCATTCCAGAGGCCTGGGCTGGCAGGACTGTGGTTCCCAGACCTGGAAGCCCTTTTCCCACACACGCTGACAGCAGGGTCACGCGCCCATGTGTGTGTGTGCACGCCTCTGCATGTACATGTCTGCATGTGTGTGCACCCCTGTGCACCTGCCCCTCCACCCACCCTGGGGAAATGGCCAGGCGAGACACCAGTCGGAGGGAATTCCAGTAGCTCCACATTCCTGTGTGGAGGCTGTGGGCCACTTGCCACCGCCTGAGCCCTAATACAGAAGCTGTCCCAGGCTTGAGGAGTCAGGCCTAGGGGTGGGCGGCTCCAGCCTGCTTCTGACGGCAGCCCTGCCTCCTGCTCTCTGGGATTGGTGTCACCTTTTACAAAGCCAGGATGCTAAGAAGGACAGCCCCAGGATCAGCCTCCAGTATGACATTTAACACCTTCTCTTCTCTTGTTCCAGGGCCCGAAGGGACCCCCAGGGCCCAAGGTGAGTGCTCCTCATTCCCCATGCCCCTCCCCAGATCTGGTGGGATGGACTCACCCACCACCACCTCCTTTCTCTTCCCCCCACCCCCAGCAAAGCCAAGGCAGTAGGGTCAGGAGACCAAACTCCCAGACCATGGGCAAGTTACTGCACCTCTCTGGGCCTCAGTTTACTCATCCATTAACTGGAGGCACAGTAAACCTTTCCTGCCTTTTTCACACTGAGTTGCGAGAGTTGAATCGTAAAACACATTAGCTTTTTGGTTTCAAATACATTTTCCCTTTTTTTTAATTTTTTATTATTTTGAGGCAGAGCCTCACTGTCACCCAGGCTGGGGTGCAGTGGCATGATCACAGCTCACTGCAACCTCCACCTTCTGGGTTCAAACAATTCTCCTGCCTCAGCCTCCTGAGTAGCTAGCTGGGTCTACAGGTGTGCGCCACCACACCATGATTATTTTTTATATTTTTAGGAGAGGCAGGGTTTCACCATGTTGGCCAGGCTAGTCTCGAACTCCTGACCTCAGGTTATCCGCCCACCTTGGCCTCCCAAAGTGCTGGGATCACAGGTGTGAGCTACTGCACCTGGCCCAAATAGATTTTGTTTTTAGAACAGTTTTTGTTTCACAACAGAACTAAACAAAGTACAGAGTTTCCATATCCCCCTGCCCCGGCCCATGCCTCCGCTCCCCAGCTATGAGTACCCCCACTTGTTAGAGATGATTTGCCTGCATGGACAGATCACCATCACCCAGATGCCATTGTTCACATTAGGGTTCACTCTTGCTGGGGTACTCTCCGGATTTGCACAAATGTGTGTTGACAAGTATCCACCACTGTGGTGTCATGGAGTATTTACCCTGCCCTAAACACTCTCTGTTCTCTGCCTGTTCATCCCTCGTTCTCCCTAGCCCCAGCACCACTGATCCTTTTATTTTATTTTTTTATTTTATTTTATTTTTTATTTTTTTTGAGTTGAAGTCTCACTCTTGTTGCCCAGGCCGGAGTGCAATGGCACAATCTCGGCTCACTGCAACCTCTGCCTCCTGGTTTCAAGCAGTTCTCCTGCCTCAGCCTCTCAAGTAGCTGGGATTACAGGCGCGCCCCTCCACGCCTGGCTAATTTTGTATTTTCAGCAGAGATGGGGTTCCACCATGTTGGTCAGGCTGGCCTCGAACTTCTGACCTCAGGTGATCCACCCACCTCAGCCTCCCAAAGTGCTGGGATTACAGGTATGAGCCACCGTGCTCGGCCACTGATCTCTTTTCACTGTCTCCATAGTTTTGCCTTTCCCAGAGTGTCATCTAGCTGGAATCAGACTGTGTGTGGCCTTTTTGATTGGCCTGTTTTACTTAGTAATACACATTGACCTTTCATCCATGTCTTCTCATGGCTTGACAGCTCATTCCTTTTTAGCACTGACTGATAGTCCATGTCTGGGTTTATTATTTATTTAATGATAAGCCACAGTTTATTTATTTATGCACTCACCTACTGAAGGACATGTTGGCTGCTTCCAGGTTTTGGCAATTTGGAGTAAAGCTGACGTCAGCATCCATGTGCAGGTTTTCATGTGGACATAGTTTTCCACGTGTTAGCGTGTCCAGCCCTCTGCAGATGTCAGCTCTTTCATTTTTGCCCTCTTTGGGGAGGATGTGAGTGGGGAGGAGGGCTCTGGTCCTCCCTGATGGAGACGGAGCCCCTGGCCTGAGGAGGAAGGATGGGAAAGCTGCTCAGCCAGTGCCTCGTCCTCCAAAACCCTCTGAGACGGCAGGAGTCACCTCCCCACTTTGAAGAACAGTGCCTTGCCAGGGTCGTTGAGCTTGGGAGTGAGTGGCTCAGAAGTGGAATTCAAGACTGTCCGCCCCAGCTCTCTGAAGCACTCAGGGGTCTCTGGGCTGGGCCGGGGCACGGGTCATCAGTGCCACTTCTACCCGAGGAACAAGAGGCCTGGGGTCCGGGCCACACTCCTGCGGCTCTCACCTTGCTCTTGAACCCCCCATTGCCTCCCCCAGGGTGAGCCTGGAGTACCCGGAAAGAAGGTGAGAGGGGCCGATGGAGGAGCGTCCGGGTCAGTGTTGGGAAGTGGCTGGAGAGAAGGGCAGGGGCTGGGATGGAATGGGGATGGGGATGGGGACAGGATGGGGTGGGGTGGGAGCCAACCCACAGGGAAAGTGGCCTTGTCTTCCCCAGACCTGAGCCCTCACTGCGGGTGGCTGCCCTGTCCTCGCTCTCCGTGAGGCCAGAATTTATTTTATTCATTCATTTATTCACTCACTTATTCACTCACTCATTCTTTCCCTTCCTCAAACACATCAAATTCATGCCCACTTCAGGGCTGAGCACACTAGTTCTCAAAGTGTGGCCCTGGGACCCACCCCAGACCCACTGAATCAGAGACTCTGGGATGGGGCCAGAGTCGGTTTGACCAGCCCCTGGTGCCACTGATGTGAGCTCAAGCTTAAAACCACTGAATGAGTGTTATCCTCTCCAGCCTCTTCTCCTGGGCCAGCCTCCTCCTTCACCTCATTCAGGTCTCAGCAAAACCCTCCCCCAAGGCCAGCAGGCGCACTGGCTCACACCTGCAATCTCAGCGCTTCAGGGGCCCAGACAGAAGGATCACTTGAGATCAGGACTTCAAGACCAGCCTGGCCAACATGGCAAAACTCCGTCTCTACTAAAAATCCAAAAATAAATCAGCCAGGCATGGTCACAGGCGGCTGTAGTCCCAGCTACTCTGGAGGCTAAGGCTGGAGAATCACTTGAACCCAGGAAGCGAAGGTTGCAGTGACCCAAGATTGTACCACCGCACTCCAACCTGCTGGGTGACAGAGTGAGACTCGTCTCACAAAAACAAAAAAAGACCACCCTGGACAATACACCAAGACCTCATCTCTACTAGAAATCAGAAAAACTAGTCAGGTGCAGTGGCATGCATCTGTTGTCCCAGCTACTTCGAAGGCTGAGGTGGGAGGATTGCTCAAGCCTGGTAGGTCGAGGCTGTAGTAAGCTATGGATTGTGCCACTGCACTCCAGCCTGGATAACAGAGCAAGACCCTGTCTCAAAAACCAAAAAATCAGGCCAGGCGCGGTGGCTCATGCCTATAATCCCAGCACTTTGGGAGGCCGAGCCGGGCAGATCACGAGGTCAGGAGATCGAGACCATCCTGGCTAACATGGTGAAACCCCATCTCTACTAAAAATACAAAAAACTAGCCAGGCGTGGTGGCCAGTGCCTGTAGTCCCAGCTACTTGGGAGGCCGAGACAGGAGAATGGCGTGAACCCAGGAGGCAGAGCTCACAGTGAGCCGAGATTGTGCCACTGTACTCCAACCTGGGCAACAGAGCGAGACTCCATCTTACGAAAAAAAAAAAAGAAAACCTCTCCCATCTTCTAGGAGACCTTCCCTGGCCACCTGCTGCAACAAGCTCCCCCTGCAGTCCCTCCCCGCCATGCCATCCTCTTCTCTTCTCAACACTACTCCACTTCCTGACATGGTGCCTAGAATTTATTTGCGTGTGTGTGTGTGTGTATGTATATTTGATAGGATCTGACTCTGTCACCCAAGCTGTGATGCAATGGCATGATCACAGCTCCCTGCAGCCTCAGGCAATTGTCCCACCTCAGCCTCTCAAATAGTTGGGACTACAGGCATGTGCCACCATGCCTGGCTAATTTTTTATTTTCTGGTTTTTGTAGAGATGGAGTCTTGCTCTGTTGCCCGGGCTGGAGTGCAGTGGCTATTCACAGGTGCCATGATGGGGCACTACAGCCACAAACTCCTGGGCTCAAGCAGTCTCCCCGCCTTGACCCGCCAGAGTGCTGGAGTTAAGGCGTGAGCCACCGTGCCAGCCAACCTTGTATTTATTTGAACGTTTCTTTTCCCTTGGCCTCCTCTGACTCCACCTGAGCGGGGACCTCAGCTGCCTGGCCCACAGGGGGAATGAATGGATGAATGTACCCTCATCATCTGCCTATCCGTTCTCTCTGCAAATGCCAGCCCTGGGCTGGTGGGGTCAGGCGACACAGAGAGATGGATCTGACCCCACCTGTGCCCTGGAGGGGCAAGGAGGGTGGGGAGGAGCTGCCTGGTACCGTGTGCCAGTGCAGGTGCCAGGAGCAGACTGGTATACTGGGAAGCCCAGAGGAGGGAGGGGCCCACTGGCCACCTGAGGGTCTGACCAGCAAGCCCCAGGTGTCCTCTCCTCAGGGCGACGATGGGACACCAAGCCAGCCTGGACCACCAGGGCTCCCTGGACCACCAGGGCCCAAGGTGAGTATCTGCCCCTCCCCTCATGGCCCCCTGCCCCCACCTCCCATGGTTCCCGTCTGCCTGGTGAAGTCCCTACCCTGGACCTTTGGCACCATGAGGTCCTAGGCCAGTGCCCGGTGCAGGCCAGAGAGAGGCAGAGGAAGGCCCTGGCCCCACCACACGACAGGCCTAGCGTCCCACCCAGTTCACGTGTCTCCCTGACTCCCTCAAGCCGTCGTTTCCATCTCAGGGGCCTCACTTCCTGCCGTGTCCCCAAGCCAAGAACTGGGTGTCATCCTCACGCCTCACTCCCCCAACCCCTCACAACAGCCACCAAATCCTGGCCAGCCAGTCTCCAAAGTGCCCCTTGAGCCCCTGAGCTGCCCCAAGTAAGTGCCAAGGCCCACACCAGAAGGTGGCAGCCGTGGTCCTGTGTCCCCTGGGCTAGCGAGAGCCCTGAGGTCCATCCGCGCACACACCCCATGGACTCAGTAACAATTTGCCAGGAGGCCTAATCGCAAGGCTTCGGGCAGCCCCAAGGCACCTGCCACGTGCCCGCTCACACTTGCTTTCACTGCAACTGTTTCTATTTCAGGGCGAGCCAGGGAGCGAGGGGCCTCAGGGCGAGAGTGGCGTGGGTGGTGCCCCAGGACCAAAGGTGACGTGAGAACTTGCTGCTCTGGCACCTGTGGGCCCTGCTCAGACCTTCCCCCAGTCGAGAGTGGGAGACGTGGTCTCAGCTCTCATTTGCCCTTTTAAGTGAGGAGTCCCAGGAGGACCTGGCCCAGGGGTCTCCTTCAGCACTGTCGGAGCTGGTGTGGGGGCAGCAGTGGTGAATCTGGACAAGTGGCAAGGCCTCCACTGGTGCCCAGCTCTGTGGCCAACTCACCATGCAGCCTCCAGCTCCGGGACACCAGCGTCCCCACCTCTATACAAAGTGATGTCAGAGGAGGGTCTCGCAGGCCCCTCCGGGAGCCCCATTCCTGGAGTGCTGTCTCATACATTCGGCTGCGAAGGCTCCAGCACTTGGGACCTGGGCCCTCCTGGGAAGAGGGGACTGGGAGGCGTGGTTTGGCTTCACACCTGCACCGTGTGTCTCCACAGGGGGAGCCTGGCCACCGAGGCACGGACGGAGCTGCAGGGCCCCGGGTAAGCTGCCGCCTCTCAGGCAAGGCCTCAGGGATGAGATCTAGGGGCCCCATAGCTTCAGAAGCCCCTGTCCCCACAGAGACCCCAGAGGAGCAGTGGAGCTACAGGAACTGGGAGGATTTTACTTTTTAAACCAATGTATTTGTGATTTTTGAAAATTCATAGTACGTGCCTTTTTTGGGTAAAATGTTCAAATATGGAAGTATAAGAATAAGAGGCCCGACCCGTTATTATGAAGCCAGATCTCTCTCAGTCCCCTCGAGCGCGTGCCCATCTAAATTCCTTTCTCTATATATTCAGACACAGGTCCTCCATTTGTCCTATGCCTGATCCTGCCGCAGTGGGCTGGGCCTTGCCTTTTCCCCACCCCACAGGGAGGTTTGTCCCTGCCACCAGGAGCACAGCGCCCCAGCCCACCCCAGATCTTTTGTGACCAGCCCCTATCAACATACCTTACCTTTAGGGTGACGTCTAGGATCCTGGCCTCGGCTCTGTCTCCTCGTGCTCCGGGAGGCTGGCTTCTTCCTCCAAAAAAAAACGATCTGAGCCCCTGCCTGGCTGTGCAGGTGGTGGGGAGCGGGAGAGGGTTGGATTAGGCAGCCAGTGAGCCAGGCTGTTCTGGGCAGGCTGTGACGGGACGGGGGAGGGCTGGCAAATGAGGCCCAGGCAGGGGTCTCCAGCCTGCACGAGGGATCGGCTCGGGCCTGAACCACAGTGCTCCCCACCCTTCACCGTACCCCAAGCAAAGAGCAGCCTGGGTGGGGAGTGAGGCTCACGAGGGGAGGGCTGGCCAGCAGCCTTGCGTGCACGTTGAGTGTGCACGTTGAGTGTGCAGCATGGGCATGGGCACGCTTACGTGCACCTGTAACCAGGTGGGAATAGGCGTGTGGGTGCGCCTACCAGAGGCTGGGAAATGGAGGCACGGGCCCGATCCAGCCTGCTCATGTTTGTGTGTTTCGGAGGGTTTGGGGCTTTTCTGTGTGTTGCCAACATTTAAAAATCTGAAGCGCGTCACATCAAAATCAGGCTTTCCATTTTCCCCCGAGGACTCGGGTCCGGCCTGAACGCCCACACGAAGGCAATTCCAGCCGCCCCTCAGACCAGGTGGAAGCAGGTCCCTCAGCAGGCCCCAGGGCCCGCCTCCCCTTCCCTCCCACGCTGGGATCCATGGGGAGGGGCATGCGTGTGGCCTGGGTGACAAGGCTCTTCCATTGCTTTGTCTCTGGGTGTGACGCAGGGACAGCTGCCACTTCACCCCCCAGCGTAGCTCTTCCCTGAAAGTCTTACTCTTCTTCCTGCCTCAGGGTGCCCCAGGCCTCAAGGGCGAGCAGGGAGACACAGTGGTGATCGACTATGATGGCAGGATCTTGGATGCCCTCAAGGTAGTGTTCCTGGTGGGACCAGGATGTGCCTTAGATATGATTTTCCTTAGGGAATAATCACTTCCTTGTGATTAATGCTGCACTTTTTTACACAAGGGACTCGAGGCAGCTTAGCACAAAGACCCCAGCCGTTCCTAGGTGTCCGATGTGGAAATCAGGGCTATGTCGAGACCCGCCTCAGAGAGCCCCTGTGAATGTGGCCCATGTGGACCGAGCTCCCTAGAGGCCAAGTCAAAAAGGGAAGCTCCTCGCTCAGGGGCAGGAGCCAGAGCATTTCCTGGGGTCTGTTCCCACCGGTGTCTCCTGGGACCTTCCCAGAGGACACTGGGTGGAGGGGACACTGGGTAGAGGGCCAGGTCTTCTAATGATGTCATGGAGAGGATGAGAGTGGCAAGTCCGGCCCCCGGAGTCTTGGGAGATGTGTGACCCCAGAGCCCAGTGGCTAGTAAACTTGGGACTTACCACCAGTGGAGAGAGGCACTGGGTGCCAGCAGCTCATGGGTACCCCAGAAGGGAAGTGGGTGAGGAAGGAGTGGTCGCCAGAGACCAGACCGGGAAGGGGGCCCTGGCCCCACCTGAGCATCATTTCCAGTTATGTCTCACAGGCTTTGGGGAAGTGCAAGTTGGCAGTAACTGTGGCACCCACCCCCAGGCATGCATGGCATGGCGTGGCATGGCATGGCGTGGCGTGGCATGGCATGGCGTGGTGTGGCATGGCGTGGCATGGTGTGGCGTGGCATGGCATGGCGTGGTGTGACGTGGCATGGCGTGGCATGGCATGGTGTGGTGTAGCATGGTGTGGCATGGTGTGGCATGGCATGGCATGGTGTGGCGTGGCATGGCGTGGCAGGCACATGCATGGTGTGTCCCAGGCTGACTGAGCCTATGAGTACGGGGAGTTGGGAGATGGACTTTGTTTTGTTTTTATTTTTGTTTTTGTTTTTGAGATGGAGTTTCACTCTTGTTGCCCAGGCTGGGTGTGATCTCGGCTCACTGCAGCCTCTCCCTCCCAGGTTCAAGCAATTCTCCTGCCTCAGCCTCCCAAGTAGCTGGGACTACAGGTGTGTGCCACCACACCCGGCTAATTTTTGTATTTTTAATAGAGGCGGGGTTTCACCATGTTGGCCAGGCTGGTCTCAAACTCCTGATCTCAAGTGATCCGCCCACCTCGGCCGCCCAAAGTGCTGGGATTATAGGTATGAGCCACCACGCCTGGCCAGAGATGGACTTTGGATGCCAGGCTGACATGCTGACTCAATTTGATGGGCAGCAGGCAGCCATAGTCCACATAGTCCATGTGGGGGATGATGTTAAAAAAATAAAAACATGCCAGGTGGGTGGCTCACGCCTATAATCCCAACACTTTGGGAGCCTGAGGCAGGCGGATCACAAGGTGAGGAGTTCGAGACCAGCCTGGCCAACATAGTGAAACCCCGTCTCTACTAAAAATACAAAAATTAACTGGCTGTGGTAGTGCACACCTATAGTCTCAGCTACACGGGAGGCTGAGGCAGGAGAATCACTTGAACCCGGGAGGCGGAGGTTGTGGTGAGCTGAGATCGCACCTCTGCACTCCAGCCTGGGCAGCAGAGGGAGACTCCATCTCAAAAAAACAAAGTAAAAAATAAAAACATATTGGGGGAAGGCTAGCTAGGGAATGGTAAGGACAGTGAACGAAAGCGGGTGTTGGAGCAGGCAGCAGCGGGACCCCAGGCAGGGAGGTCCTGGGCCTGGGCCTAGAGGAGGGTGGATAAGATGGAGGCCAGGGGTATCTCAGTGGGACACCAACAAGAAGGGCACAGGACAGGGAGGCGGGAGGCGGGCGGGGAGAGACCTAGAGCTTGTGGGACAGGGGCTGGGCAGGGTGCAGTTTTACAGAAGGGAGGGGAGGGGAGTGTGGAGGCCGAGCAGGGGGCCTGCAAAAAGTCTGGGTCAGGACAGGAGCTTGAGAGTGGGGTCGGACCTGGACACACTGGAGACCCGACCCCTATCTGCGAGACTGAGGAACTCCCTAGGTCCAGCAGATAGCAGCCAGTGGAGCCAGAGGGTCAGAGAGCTCATAGGACAGTCAGAGAGGGTGGTGCTGGGCCACTGTTGGGGATGTCATTCTTGGCAGGCCTTGAATGCCAGCAGGGGACTTAAGCTTGCTTCAAGAGGCAATAGGGAGCCAAAGCAAGATCTTGAGCAGGGGAACATCGTGACGAAATCTGGATTGGGGCAGAGGGCTGTTCATGGCAGCAGACACCTCCTGGCCTCCCCCAAACCTGGGTAGCCAGATAAAGCCATGCACAGTGTGGCCTGACCTGACGGGAAGAAGCAGTCCCCGAGGACCCTGCCCCTGCTCAGCTCAGCTGGTTGGGGACCTTGTTCCAGGTGGGGAGCTGGGCGGGCAGCGAAGGGAGGCCGTGCCTAACCAATGACATTGACTGGCTTCACTTTCACACACAGGGGCCTCCCGGGCCACAGGGGCCCCCAGGGCCACCAGGGATCCCTGGAACCAAGGTCAGTGCCGACAGAGCTATGTGGTCCCCCAAGCATTTGTCTCCAGCGCTCACCTCCCACTTCCTGTCTGCTCTGTGATCCTCTTCCACTTCCCTCCTGGTGTCCTGGCCTGGCTTCTGCGAGCTCAGAGAAAGGGCCTCGGCTTCCAGGCTGAGTGCCTTCTGCCTGGGCTCTGTCTAATCTGGGAGATTTCCCTGGGAAGCCTTATTCACACGTTTAAACTGAAAAATCATGCAGCTATAAAAAGGAATGAAATCCTGTCATTTGCAGCCACATGGATGCAGCTGGAGGCCATTATCCTAAGTAAATTAATACAGAAAAGAAAATGGGCTGAGTGTGATGGCTCACACCTGTGAATCCCAGCACTTTGGGAGGCCAAGGCAGGTGGATCACCTGAGGTCAGGAGTTTGAGACCAGCCTGACCAACACGGTGAAACTCTGTCTCTACTGAAAATACAAAAAATTAGTCATGTGTGGTGGTGACCGGCACCTGTAGTCCCAGCTACACGGGAGGCTGAGGCAGGAGAATTGCTTGAACCCGGGAGGCGGAGGTTGCAGTGAGCCGAGATCACGCCACTGCACTCCAGCCTGAGAGACAGAGCAAGAGTCCATCTCAAAAATAAATAAATAAATAAATAAAAGTGGAAGCTGAACATTGGGTACACACAGACACAAAGATGGGAATAATAAATACTGGAGATTCCAAAAGGGAGGAGGTAGGAGGACAGGGATTGAAAAACTACGTATCGGGTGCTATGTTCACCACTTGGGTGACAGAATCATTAGCAGCCCAAACCTCAGCATCATGCAGTACACCCATGTGGCAGCCCTACCCGCGTACCCCCGAATCTAAAACCTTTCTAAAAGCTTTGAATTTTCGCGTAAGCACTGCTTTAGCTGCATCCTACAAACCTTGATATGTTGAATTTTATTTTTATTCAATTCAACCTAATTTCTAAGCTCTCTTTTGATTTATTCATGGATTATTTAGAAATACTTGGGGATTTAGAAATACTTGGGAGATTTTTTTCCAGATATCTTGTTTTTTTGTTTGGTTTTAGTTTTTTTCATATTTGATGTATCCAGCTGACCAGATATTTTATTAATTTCTTATTTAATTATCATGCGGCCAGGCACGGTGGCTCACGCCTGTAATCTCAGCACTTTGGGAGGTGGAGGCGGGTGGATCACAAGGTCAGGAGTTCAAGACCAGCCTGGCCAATATGGTAAAACCCTGTCTCTATTAAAAGTACAAAAATTAGCTGCGCATGGTTGTGCGCACATGTAATCCCAGCTACTTGGGAGGCTGAGGCAGGAGAATTGCTTGAACCTAGCAGGCGGAGCTTGTAGTGAGCTAAGGTTGTGCCACTGCACTCTAGCCTGGGAGACATGGCGAGACTGTCTCAAAAAAAAAATTATCTTGCGGTTAGAGAACATGTTCTTTTTTTTTTTTTTTTTTTGAGACAGTCTTGCTCTTTTGCCCAGGCTGGTGTACAGTGGCGCCATCTCAGTTCACTGCAACCTCTGTCTCACAGATTCAAGCAATTCTCCTGCCTCTGCCTCCTAAGTAGCTGGGATTACAGGCCTGTGCCACCAAGCCCAGCTAATTTTTGTATTTTTAGTAGAGAGGGAGGTTTCACCATGTTGGCCAGGCTGTCTCAAACTCCTGACCTCAGGTGATCCACCCACCTCAGCCTCCCAAAGTGCTGGGATTACAGGCGTGAACCACTACGCCCAGCCAGAACATACTCTTTTTAATACAACATTGATCTTTTTAATGTATTAAAAGTTGTTTTAGAGTCAAAGTGTTCTTTCTTGTTGAATGTTTTATATGCACACAAATTAAATGTATATTTAGCTGCTATTGGGTATAGTGTTTTTATACAGTATCCACTAAATAAAATAAAGAACTGAAAACCCAGCCCCTGTGGCCGCATACCAGTCCTGGTGGTAGGACAGCTATGCACACCCTGTGTAGCTGGCCTGTACCATTTGTCGCATCCTGCCCATTTGTCTCAAAGAGAAAGAGCCAACAGCTTGAAGTCAGGCAGATCTGGTCCCTGGCATCGTTTTTCCTGGGCTCTGTGCCTAAGCCAGTCACTTAACCCTCCAAGCCTCAGCACCCGAATCTGTGACATAACAGCTTACCGGTGATAACCAGGGCTACATCTGCTCGTGATGGACTGCAGGAAACAGGATGGGTGTGGTACTGACCCACCCTGGGCCGGTACACAGTGTGTCTTGACCCTCTGGCTGCTGACACCTCTCTAGGAAAGGAAGGCATAACCCCTTTTGCCATCTGTTTCCTTCCAGGGCGAGCTTGGATTGCCTGGTGCCCAGGAATCGATGAGAGAAGGTCTCTGGGCCTTCATTTCCTTGGTGATGCCAGTGCCTGGTACTGGGCTCTGTGTGGTGTGTGTGTGTGTGTGTGTGTGTGTGTACAGAGTTCAAGACCATGTGTGAGAGAGGCAAAAATCCATGGGATTCTGGCGCCAGGCTTGCCTGTGTGCAAACCCTGGTCTGCCCTCAGGCCCCGGGCAAGTTGCCTGCTCTGGGGCAGGGCTGAGTAGCTCTGTGTGAGAACACTTAGCATAGTGCTGGCACGTGGTGAAAAGCCATAAAAGCTAAGAGCATCAGTGCCATCGTAGGTATTGCCCCAGTTCTAGAGTGTGTTGTGTGTCCGTGTGTCTGTGTGGTGTATCTGTTGTGTGTGTGTTCTGTGTGTTGGTGTATCTGTGTGTGTGTGTTCTGTGTGTGTGTGTGTCTGTTGTGTGTGTATCTGTGTGTGATAGCCTATACAGACGTCAAGCATATTCATGGTGGTCACTGCTATTCAGAGGAGTGGAGTTCCTTGCCCACCTGGTCCGCAGGATGTGTGTCTCATCCTGGACGTTATGTGATTGGTTGGAATGGAGGATTCGTGGCTGAAGAGTTTCGTGGGGTGGGAGTACCACCAACTAGTTTCTGAGGTGTGAGCACACCCCCAGAGGGCAGCTCCAGCTCACATGCTTCACCCGTCTGCCCCTGGCCCCTGCTCTGAGGTGCCCGCACCCGGATGCAGTGAGCCAGGAATGGCATTGCCCTCATCCCCACCCACTGCACTCAGCTAAGGCTCCCAGCCACTGTGGCTGGAGGTGAGGCTCCACAAAGAGAAAGTGGGGACCTGCCATGAACTAAGCTCTGGGGACCTGCTGGGGTGGGGAAAGGGAGAGGACCTCCTGAGCCCCACTAATCCCTTGTTCTTGTGGCTTTCAGGGTCCCAAAGGACAGAAAGGAGACCCAGGAGAGCCTGGGCCAACTGGACTCAAAGGGGAAGCAGGCGAGATGGGCTTGTCCGGCCTCCCGGTATGTGACTGGGCTGGGCCACACATTGCGCCTCCTGTGTGGAAGCCCCGTGCTGTGGGGAGGCCAGGGCGTGCCTCTGACGGCCCCTGCAGTCTCAGTGCCCAGCCGGCCGGGGACACTCTAGCCTCTGGGCCAGCACTGCCCTCTTCTCTCCCGGCCTCCACTCCTCATCTGGAAGAGGCCTTCCGCCTGCCTCGGATGGCAGCTAAAATCAGGAGGTGTGGCCATGGAAGTGCGTTGGCCAGATGGTTATGCCACGTGCTCTGACCTAAGCTGCCCAAGTTTGCATCCAGGTCCGGGCAAGCAACCTAACCTCCTGGGGCCTTGGTGTCCTCACTTCCAAAGTGGGGTGATCATCCCCCTCCCTCAAGGGCATGCGTGGCTGGGCTGACGGTGGCTGGCACACAGCAAATACCCACTGTTGTCGTCCTCATCATTTTTGTTGTTGCTTTTGTGGCCCAATTGGAAGAGCCACCAGGTGTTACACCACCACTGGGACATCCACTGTCCATCCCTGATGATCACTGGGCTAGAGGGGGCACTGGAGTTTGACCCCGGGGTCTTTGCTTCAGAGCCCCTGGTTGTTCCCTGCACCCCAAGAAAACAATCTGTGTAGCTGCTCCTGTGCTCTCTAAAGCCCATGCTGCTCACCACCCAGGGCATGGCCCATGGATCCAGGGAAAACTTCTCAGTTGCAACAGCTAACTGAGGACTGTTCCCCGAAGCCACATGGGGGAAGGAAGGGAGGTCACTAAGCACCGTGGGTGGTGATGTAGGTGCTGGACACAAAGGACTCACAGGCCATGCCATCCTGCAGGGCGCTGATGGCCTCAAGGGGGAGAAGGGGGAGTCGGCGTCTGACAGCCTACAGGAGAGCCTGGTAAGGGGGTGTAGGGGGTCAGGGCTTCCCCCAACACCCAGTCCAGGCTGGGTGGTGACCCTGCGCCTTGGGACAAAAAGGCCACCTGGCCTGAGCAAACCCAGGGCAGTAGGGGAGGGACAGCAAGGGGAGCGAGGCCCCTCTGAGAACCCACAGGCCAGCTGCCCCCCACTCACCAGAGTCTGCCCTCTGGGCACAGGAAGGAGACTGTGGATCCAGCAGTATGTGATGAGCTGGGGTGCGGGTGGGTGAGGGCGACAGGCGGCGGGTGACTAACCTGTCTCTCACCCTCCCTAGGCTCAGCTCATAGTGGAGCCAGGGCCCCCTGGCCCCCCAGGCCCAATGGTAAGGACAGTTTGCTTTGGTTTGGTTTGAAGCAGCCAGGAAACCAAGAGGCGGGATGGGGGCTAGGTCCCAGAGCCGTGACCCGGGAGACAGCGGGCTTCGTCATTCAGGGAGGGGCACATGGGCAGAAGGCAGAGCCCAGGACAGGGCCCCAGGGGCCAGTGAGTGGCCCCTGCAAGAGGGTCCGGAGCCAGCCTTCTTATCTGCTTCCTCCTCCTGCAGGGCCTCCAGGGAATCCAGGGTCCCAAGGTGAGTGGGCATAGCCCCCTCTACTGACCTCAGACTCACTGCCTGGGCAGTTTCTAACAGCCTTGCCAATGGGCAAAGCAAAGGGCCTGATGCTCCGCCCTGGCCCATCCCTGAGTCTTCCCAGCACCTGAACGTCTCAACTCCCCAGGGCATAACCTCCCTGATGTCATCGGGGCCAGTGCCCCCTCTCCACACTTGGGGCTCTCGTCTCCACTTTCTCCCTCTGCCCAGAACCCCAGTCTGTACCTCTCTCCTCCTCGGGTCCACCACCCACGGTTTCTACTGCTTGTCCCCTTCTCCTTTCTCTGTGCCTCTCAGTTTCTTGCACTGTCCCCACCTCTCCCCATCCCAGCCTGCCCCACACACATCTGTCTCTCAGCTGTCACAGCCTGAGCACAAAGTCTTGGGCTTGGTGTGTATTACATAATGGAGTGTTGCCTGCTCTTACATTAAATCCTCGAGTGTGGCCTGCCTGCATGCCCTGCTCCAGGGAGGCAGACACAGACGGGGAGGCCATCTGGCCTCACTCTTTGTCACACCACCCTCCTGGCACGAGCACATCTCTGCTTCCCCAGCTCAGAGGCCAGATGTGGGATTAAGAGTCATGGAACCCCAGGCCTGAGCCCGCAGCCCCACCAGATGCACTGCTTCTGGTTCTGTTTTCTCTTAAGGCCGCCACAGTTCATGTTTCAAAGAGGCAGCTGCTATCAGGGACAGGGTCCAAGGCTTGCCGCAGAAGCCTGATGGGGACCCAGCTCTGCTGCCTCCCACTGTGTGGCTGGGCCCGTCCCCGCCCCTGTCTGCACCTGCTTTCCTCATCTTTGAAATGGGTGTGACCATAATCACCTCCCATGGGGTTGAGGGAGCCTGTTCGGGAAAAGGTGCAATGTGCATGGCCAGACCTCCTCCTGATCACCCTCACCAGGGAGTAAGCTGGGGTCAGGTCTGGTGGAGCCTGGATCTGTTCCTCTGTCCACATCCCAGCTCCCTTGCAGTCTCCAAGCTTGCCTGTCCTCCTCTCTGTCTAACCCCTTCCCCTTGACTGATTTCCCTCCTTTGCCTCCAGGGCTTGGATGGAGCAAAGGGAGAGAAAGGCGCGTCTGGTGAGAGAGGCCCCAGCGGCCTGCCTGTGAGTCTCACAAGCCTTGTTTGGCCCACAGGTGTTAATTCCTGTAACTAGCATGCCTCTTGACTCACTCCTTTTCTATCCAGGGGCCAGTTGGCCCACCGGGCCTTATTGGGCTGCCAGGAACCAAAGGAGAGAAGGTAACCGCTTCATTCGGAACTCCCTCTCCAACTATGGCCACATGGTCACGGTGGCGCTCAGCCTGGGGACCCCAACCCTGTACCTCACTGGGTCCCTACACTTCACAGGGCCAGAGTTCAGGCTCTGTGGATGCCAGGTCTGTCGTGGCCTCCATCCGTGCCTGCGTGGTTGGTGGGTCTCCTCGCCTCCATGTCTGTGGCCAACCCATGGGGCTGGACTTCCTGGCAGCTGCGTTCCCAGCCCCCCTCCCCAACCCCTCTCACCCACTCTATGTCTCTCCTCAGGGCAGACCCGGGGAGCCAGGACTAGATGTAAGTGTCTCATCATCGTTTTGAGTAATTGGGTGCCTCTTGTGTGTATCTTCTGCCCTCATGCAGTAACCTGATCTGGCTACTGAAGCGTGACCCCCTTCCCCAGGGCTGGGACTGCAACTGACTGGTTCCCCCTGTGTCCCCATTGCCAAGTGCAGTGCACAGCCCAGAGTAGGTCCTTTGTGGATAGATGAATGGATGGATAAAGGATGGATACATTGGTAGATGGATGATGGATGGACAATAGAAGATGAATCGATGGATTGATAAATGCATAATGGCTGCAGGATGGATGGATGGATGGATGGATGGATGGGTGAATGGATGGATGGATGATGGATGAGTGGATGATGGGTGGGTGGATGATGAATGGATGATGGATGGATGGATGGATAATGGATGAATGATGGATGGATGGAGGGGATGATAGATGATGAGTGGATGGATGGATAGATGGATGGATGATGCATTGTAGCAAGAAAGTGAAGAGAACAGTGAGGAACCTGTTGCAATATCCTGGTGACAGATAATAAGGCTTTAGCTAGAGCAGTAATTTGAGAAGAGGAGGAAGGGAAGTATTAGCCCAGGCTGATTATATCAAGTCTCTCTGGTAGCATACATAGAAAACATAGTTTAAACTGGCTTAAAATGACCCATAATTGAAAAGTATGGAGGTTCAACACATGGATCCAGGGCTCAACTGTGTCAACACAGCTCAGCCTTTCACCCTCTCTTGTCCGCTTTCCCTGTGGAAATCAAGTTCCGCGTGGTGGTGAGGTAAAGCCAGCAGCTCGAGACCATCATCCTCCCAGGCCCAAACTAAGAAGAAAGAAAATTTGACTCACTCCAGTGTTCTGCAGGAAGTCTCACGGGCTCTCCCTGGTCCCAGTTAGGTCAACACTGAACTGTCACTAGACCGTAGGAATGCAGTGCCCTGACCAGTCAGACCATGGACTGGGGCGGAATCAATGGGTTGTGAGAAGGGAGGTTTTTCTCAGGAAAATCAGGTAGCTATTTTGAGGGACATGGGACCAGATGCAGGGCTGCAAGGACTCTGGTGTCCACCCTAGACTTTAAAAAGAGAACATTACCGGCCGGGCACGGTGGCTCATGCCTGTAATCCCAGCACTTTGGGAGGTCGAGGCGGGCGGATCATGAGGTCAGGAGATCTAGACCATCCTGGATAACATGGTGAAACCTCGTCTCTACTAAAAATACAAAAAAT